GTTGAAGTGAGGACAGTTTGTAAAGAATCTTTATTTCTTAAGTTTGAGTCCCGCTCCGTGTCCGTGCCCCAGGGAGCCACAGCCCCTCCCCCCCTCCCCCCCCTCCTGTAAACACGCGTGTGATAAAGAAAAACTCCACATGATAAGAGCTTTGCCCCCCCCCCCTGTAAACTGAGCCACAGCACTTCATTTTCATGAATTATAGTCGAGCTCGTCTGAGGAGCCTCTTCTCTTTCCTTTGACAAATTTGCGGCCGCGCTCCGACGGCGCGGCAGGTTGGGGCTTGATGCATGGGGACGGCGGAGCGCGCCGTCGTCTTGGGGCCGGCAGAATTGATGAAGATCGTGGGGCAGCGACAAACATGCTGCAGTCAGCACGTTGTGTACACCAGTGTGTGTGTGTGTGTGTGTGTGGAGGCGTACGGGAGCCAGGCCGGGACGAGCCGTGTGTCAGTTTCTTAAAACATGCACGTGCACTTTTTAACAACCGTCTCCCTGAGGACGCTCTGAGGTTTGGACATTTTGCATGAGGACGTTTTAAAAGCCAGGAAATTTCAACCATCGTAAAAATGTATTTTATAAACGTGAGGACTTTTTTTTTTTCTAGAAACGAGAGACATTTGTAGAAAAGTAGTAAAAGTAAAACGTCTGGACAGAATTTGGGGAAAGTGATTCAGGACATTTTCAGAAAAAAGACATTTGTGGAAAGTTCTGACTGTTTGAGAAAGAGAAGAGGTTTTTAGAACGTCTGGTTCTTTTCAGAACGATGATTAAAACAGAGTGAGAATCTCATCGAATTCAAAATGAAGACAAAGAGAGGAACTTTAGTGGACTATTATTAAAAATGGGATTTTTATTTTTTTAAATATTGAACTTGAGGAAATCGCCTGAAAAATTAAAAACATTTCACGTTTTGATTCTTTTAAAATCGAATCTGATTGAAAACAATTATTTTTTGAAATTGGACATTTTTTGAAACCAGTGTTTTTGAAAACGAGGAGGTCTCAGACTCGTGACATCGTTCGTAGAGACGCATGTTTCTCTTCATCTCGTGTTCCACGTGTGGAGCAGAGATTCTTCAGTAGCAGTGCTGCCCCCTSTTGACAGAGTCCCCACCCTGCAGCCTGACCTCCGGTGTGGTCACGCCCTCACAGAGTTCACGTTGTGGTACTTTTGTGTTTGGTTGGTTTGGGTTCACGCTGTAAACAGAAGTCACGTGTGTGCGTTTGTGGCTGAAGTTGTCAAAACAAATGTGACTCCGGCCTCTGTAACTTCAGTGTTGCATGATGGGAATCGTGCGCTCTTTAATCTGTACCTCTCCGTCCCCGGAGCGCAGGAGGTCAAACACTCGAACAACCGGCTGAATGTGATTCTTAACAGCTGGAGGCGGTAAACTGTTCCACGTGCGCTCGCCGCAAACTCCGCCTCAGAGGAAGAGAACCGCAGACGAGTCAGTGGAGAAAATGAACGAGAGAAATTAAAGTAACTGTCTGCGTCGCATCAGGTGAACATATGCTCCCTCCGCAGAACCACCGCGGCAGCTTGTTGGACCTGAAGGACGACGCCGACCGAGACGACTGCAAACAGGAGCCAGAGGCCGTTTACGAGACCAACTGCCACTGGGAGGGCTGCAGCAACGAGTACGACACGCAGGAGCAGCTGGTGCACGTAAGGGGGGGGGGGGGGGGGTTCCTGGCATCACGATGCATGTTTGTGTTGAGCTGGATGTTTGTGCATCAACGTGTCGTAGATCCAGCGACGGTTCTCGGGTTCCTGTCTTTTTCTAAATGTGAACTTTATTCACACGTTTAATAGGAGACGTGTGTTTTTAGATTTTTTTTTTTTTTCACGTCTGTGATGAACTTTTCTCATCAGCAATCCGACTTTAACCCCGCCCCATATTTGCATAATGCACGTCTAGCGGTGAGTCTGACACGCCCCCTAACTAAACCAGGACTGTGAGAAAACTTATGTTTTTAGTTATAACTGAAAAACAGAGTGGACGGAGTCTCTCCATCGATTCCGAGCTTTTTTCCCTGAGTGTGAAACAACTAGAACAAAGAACGACCGTCAGCCCTCGGACGTGTGACAGATTCTCCTGTTGAACTCTTGTTTCCTGTCGTCCTCCAGACTTCAGCAGTTTGGTTTCCCATCACGACGAGCAGAGTCTTGGTTAAAAGGGTCTTAAGCATTCCACGTTTCCACTGGAGCACAGAGAGACAAGAGGGGGATTAGTGAGGGTCTGGGGGGGGGTGAGGGGGAGGTAACCGCTGTCCCTCATCCATTAAACTCCTCGGAGGAAACTCTCGTCTCCGCCGCCTCGACTCAGATACGCGTGGCGTCTTTTAACGTCAGCGTCTCGTCGTCCTCACGATTCTGACGCTTCAAAGTGCAGAGCTTTTGTTTTTAAACTAATCAGGACCACATTTCCCATGAACCCCTTCACTGCCTCCTCTCTTCCTGGAACAAGTCCACAGATTTAAACACGTGGACAGAAACTGTAGAGGAGCAGCGTCCTCCTTCCTTTACTGCGTCCGAGGTTTGGAACAGAAACCAAAAACCAAATACAACACGATGAGGAAAGAGCTTCCTGAAAACACTACCCACAATCCTCAGGTGTAAGAGGGACGTCTCTGATCGCAGAGGAAGTCGTTGTCACAATGGTTTATGGGACGTGTAGTTCCTTAACGATATAGAATAATAAAATAATGCGTTTTTAATTTCCACTCATTTTTGATTTAAAGGATTTTTTGAATGTTTAAACAGAAACAATTTGATTTCTACAGTAAAAACTAAAGAAGGGAGGAAACGACTGGAACAGCTTCTTCTATCAAACCCTGAGATCTCAGGATTATAAGTGACTCTTATTTTATATCTAACGTCAGACTTAGTTTCCTGCTCAGTTCAACGTGTCCAGTGATTTGAAATAAGTGAGACGCTCCAGCTTCTCTGTGATTCAGGCTCATGTAAAGAATCTAATTAGTGCAACTGTGACGCTTCTCTCCGTCCGTCCTCTTGAGATTCTCTGTGATAAGACGGATCTGTACAGAAACATCCAGCGACACCGGAGCCTCTTAGTGGACGGGTCTCTCCAGAGCAGCCCTCATTTCTGTGTGTGTCCGTCCCGCAGCACATCAATAACGACCACATCCACGGAGAGAAGAAGGAGTTCGTGTGCCGCTGGGACGAGTGTTCTCGGGAGCAGAAGCCCTTCAAAGCTCAGTACATGCTGGTGGTTCACATGCGCCGACACACGGGGGAGAAACCACACAAGTGCACGGTGGGTAACGGATGGCCTCGGCGCCCCCCACGGGTCCCCGACGGGCCCCTGGAGGACGGCAGCTCACTCTCTCTAAACACCGCGTGCACTTCTTTACACCCACACACACACACACGTGGTTGTTCCCATAGATACTGACGTAAAACACACAACGACAGAACGCTCGTGTCCTGATGGATCATAAAAACACGACGTCTGGTTTGTTCCCTCAGGATTTCATGAAGAGCTAAAACCTCATCAGCTGTTAAACGTATGAAACTGTAATACTGGTGCAAATATGTTTTAAATACTTGGAAATCAAAGTAATTAAATATTCAAATGTAGTTTTACTGTGAAATAGTTTAAGTTAGATTATCTGTTAACTTCCTCATATTCACATTTACATGATGATTCTGTCGTTCGCCGCTCGTCATCATTAATATGAATCAACATTAATATGAGAGAGAGACGTTGAAACTCTTTTCTTCTCTGACCCTCTTCAGTTCGAGGGCTGCTCCAAGGCCTACTCCCGTCTGGAGAACCTCAAAACCCATCTGCGCTCGCACACCGGCGAGAAGCCGTACGTGTGCGAGCACGAAGGATGCAACAAGGCCTTCTCCAACGCATCGGACCGAGCCAAACACCAGAACCGGACGCACTCCAACGAGGTACAAACCGCTCACAGAAATCCTCCCCCAGCTGAAACCTGCCAGGATGAGTCACCGCAGACAGGAAGTCAACGCCGTCTGCGGCGAGTGGCCCAAATTTCCTTTTCATAGCGATAATGAGGTTTGAGGCAGCGCGGGCGGATTCTGCCTCCGCACAGTGTCAGTGTTTGTGTTGCTTCAGTGCCCCGGTGTACGAAGACGCTTGTGAGTAAATAATGAGCTGTAGACATAATGAGCACGACGGCCCACAATGCATTAGGGGGAATCATGCTCGCCGCTCCCCCTCCGCCCCGCAGAGAGGGACCACCTGCGGAATAGAAAATGAAACCTGGAAGCGTTTCAGAAACCTCGCCGCTTTTCCATCAGCGGGGCGACAGAGGGGGAATTCAACAACACACACACACACACACACACACACACACACACACACACCAAACCTAACTGATTAAGACTCGAACGATCAATGTTTAAATATGTTGTTCACTCAACAAGATGTCGTCACTTTCTTTCCGTTGTTGAATCTGTGAAATAACAAAATAAAATCTAAAATACTTTCTAAACTACTGAAGAGACATTTTGTCCCTCCGTCTCAAATGTTGGACAAAGAGGATTTGTGTCTCTGCGGAGTGGGAACTTAAAGTTTTCCGACGTCTCCTCTGAGTAACTCTTGTGTCGTCCGCAGAAACCCTACGTGTGCAAGATCCCCGGCTGCACCAAGCGATACACCGACCCCAGCTCCCTCAGGAAGCACGTGAAGACGGTCCACGGCCCCGAGGCCCACGTCACCAAGAAGCAGCGCAGCGACCTGCCGCCCAGGCCGCCGGCGCCCAGGGAGAACGGCGAGAACGAGACGGGGCCCAGAATCCAGAGAGAGGACATGATGTCAGACCACGGCTCCCCCCGAGGCATGGATGACTACCTGCACGTGAAGTCCATCAAGACGGAGAACTCTGTGGTGAGTTCAGTCGCTCGACCTCACCAACGGTTATCGGTAGAGAAATGAGGAGGCGCAGCTCCGCCTCTTTGTCTGGACCTTTCTCCTGCTCGCTGCTTGATTGTTTGCATTTCTCTCTCTTTCCCGACTTTCCTCACGGACAGACGTTGTTGAGGTGAGATCACCTGTGGTTATTACATCACCTTTCACCATCTTACACCATCCTTTCATTCCAAAGTGAGGATTTAAGAAGGGACGCGACTGAACACAGGAACAACAACAGGAGGCCGGTGTTTAATTCAAGCCGTTGTTTTTCCTGCAGTTAACGAACAAACCTGAATCTAGAGGAGCTTCTGGCAATTTGACACCTTTTTCACATATTTAATTGAAATTCAAACCAATTAGCTGGATTTCATTTCTCAATCTGTTCTTTCGTGAGCCCAGTTTTCAGCTGCAGGATTTTCTTTAATTGTTTTTAACTTTTTTTACGTCGCAAATCAGAACTCATCTGAGATAACAGTCAAGCGAGGATTGAGTCGCTGGCTCGTATGGTCCGTGAGAGCGTGTGCGCCACTTTTTCCTGTACGCAGGCAGTTTAAACCTATCAAACACCCGTCAGAGAGCATGAACGTGATAAAAGACACTTCAGGATTAATATTCAAACACTGGGAATTGGCCGTGGAGCTCTGTGCAAACACAGCCAGCTATCAAGCTGTGATCAAGACGGCTTTTTAGCAGTGAATATATTAGAGACTGCGAGGAAACAGAGGCTGGGAGGGGTCGGCTCCGAGGGACAGATACTGTACAAGCTGTATTGTTCTTCAACGGGGGACATGTCAGCGTCGAACAAATCAGCTCAGGATTAAAAGTAAATGTGAGTTCAGAGTTTAAAGCACTCGTTTGATTTCGTCCAGGTGGTAAACAGAGAAACTGAGAATCTCAGAAGGAGAGAAGCTTCGTATCGCGTTTGTTTATATAAATGTTGAAAACGCCACAGATGTGAGTTTGTGGAGAGAGAAACGTGATCTGGTGATGATCGGCCCGGCGCTCGGCCTCAAGCGGTCTTTCATCCTGCACATTTCTAATTCACAGACAGACTACGACAGCCTGTAATCTGTGGTGCACCCCCACCTCCTCACCCCATCCCAAAAAACACTCATTATTTACAATTAAGCTGGGGGAGGATAAAAGACCCCGTGATTCACTGCTCGTCATGTTAACCACTGCTCCACTTTTGTTCTGGTAAAGAAAAATACTATTCCAGGACAAGTGGTTGTGTCTTTTCTCAAACTGGGATTTCATCCGCTATCTCTTTTTTCACTTTTCTCTCTTTCTCCTCGTTCTCTTTCTAAGATGTATCAGTCCAGCCCTGGCGGTCAGTCATCATGCAGCAGCGAACCATCACCACTTGGCAGTGCCACCAACAATGACAGTGGAGTAGAAATGGCGGCGCACAGCGGGGGAAGCCTGGGGGACCTCAGCACCCTGGACGAGCTGCCCTTTGTGGAGTCCTTGGGATTTGAACATTCCACTGGCGGAGTCGCGGCGGTCGGTCTCCACTTCCGAAAGCAGCTCGGCACCAGTCAGCTCCTGGAGCATCTGAAGAAGGAGAAGCTGAAGACAGTGAGGGACTCGTGTCGGTGGGCCAACAACCCAACACCCCCGGTCCTCGGCACCAAGCTCCCACCCATACCAGCCGGCGGTGAGCAGACGCAGAAACAGAAGAAATCATAGCATCCCAATATAACTCGACTGAAATCCATGTGGCTCTGGTTTGGTCTCAGTCCTCTGTCCAACATTTTCCTCTGTTCATTCACAGGGTCCCTCCTGGAGAGTCCAAGTATGGGTGGTGGTCCGATGTCCTTCCCTGGTTCAGGCTTGAGTAAGCTGAGCTCTGGTAAACCAACGCTTCTAGAAAACCTCCCAGAGCGCCGGGACAGCACGTCCAGCACCCTGAGCTCAGTTTACACCCTCAGCCGCCGCTCCTCGGGCATCTCCCCCTGCTACTCCAGTCGGCGCTCGAGCCAAACATCACAGTTCGGTGCCAACCGCCCCAGCAACCTCAGTTCCGCTGACTCCTACGACCCCATCTCTGCCGACATGTCACGGCGCTCCAGTCAGACGAGCCAATGTGGGGGAACCGGCGGAGGAGCAGGGGTGTACAGAGGAGTGGGGCTGGCCAGCCCCCTCAGCCTGACCCCAGCCCAGCACTACCGCCTCAAAGCAAAATATGCGGCTGCCACTGGGGGTGCACCACCTACCCCGCTTCCATACATGGACCAAATGTGTCTGAAGACCCACACAGCTCTTTATGGGGACCCCCAGGAACCCCCCACCGCTACAGGCCTCCCCTACAGGCAGTACAGCAGCTACAACACAAGGAGCTTGATGCCCCATGAGGCTCCGTCTCACGTCCCCCGTCGAGCCAGCGACCCTGTGAGACGGGTGAGCACAGACCAGCCACAACTGCAGCGCTACAACAGCATAGGGACACTGAACAGAGGCGTGGCCGTGCAGCCGTGTCCCCCTCCTGCGTCAGATCGTCATCGTTTATCCCAGCAAGGCTGCTTGAGATCAGAGAGTCACCAGCGCTACACGCACAGCCATCGACCGCCCAGCATCTCTGAGAACGTCACCATGGAGACGATGACGAGTGAGGAGGACCTGATGCTGCCTGACTTCAACACCGACGACGGAGATACAAACTGCAGAGTGTCGGCCAATCAACAACACTTCGAAGGAAACTCTCACCAGCAGCAGTGGTACCATCAGAGACGAACGGCCGTGGTGAACACCAACATCCACCTGCCCGCCAGCCTGAGTCCGGGGCAGCAACCACAGCAGTGCTCATCATCACAGAGGGACAACAGGACCAACTGCCCGGTGTCTGGGGGCGATCACAGCGTCAAAGTCCGAGGGAACCTGGCTGTGCTCCAGCAAAACCACAACTTTGGATCCCTGTACAACAATCTGACTCCAAACCTCGCTGACACAACACAGATGAACTCTGAACCCGGAGCAAACCGCTTCCATCAGCCGTCAAATCTGAACGAAGCCATCAGCTCTCAGTGTAGATTCAACGATGCGATCGGCTCCTACGACGGCAACGGTAACGCCACCTACCCAAGGTGCAGTAACACAGCAGGACTGAAGGGGAGCCTCCTGAGTCCCACCTGCAAACAGGAGCCAGTCGACGGGGAGACTGTCGATTTGCATTTTGCTGATGCTGGATTTCAGCCGGTGAGAGTTAAAATTGAGGACTGTGATGGACCTTTCATGATTTCAGATCAGCAGATTTGTAACATGACATCCCAGAATCCCTTGCACGCTGGGAATCAGAGCTATATCCAGCCGAGGCCACCAGCAGAACCCAGATCTCTACACAGGCACCATTCAGGGCCCAAGTTGATGCAGCAAACAAGGAACCCGAGTAACGCTAACACAGAGGTTGCTTCCAAATTATCCAGTCGAGCAGTTTTAGGACTTCAGTGCAGCAACACCTCCGATGACAACGCCGTGTACTACACCGGGCAGATTCAAGTGTTTGAGTCCAACGGGAATGTGGACCTTCAGGTTTCTCCTGTGGTGAGCGTGCCTCCTTTTGAAAATGATGCAGCATCTCCCGGTTCAGGTGAAAACCAGGCGTCCAGGACTCTGGAGTGTAACGCAGCACTGGACCAGACACAGATAGACTTTGATAGCATGCTGGACGACGGGGATCACTCCAGCCTGATGTCGGGAACTCTGAGTCCCGGTCTGCTGCAGAATCTGTCCCGGAGTTCCTCTCGCCTGACAACACCCAGGAACTCGGTCACGTTGCCCTCGGTGCCGACGGGGACGGGAAACATGGCCATCGGGGACATGAGTTCGCTGCTGACTGCTCTCGCTGAAGAGAACAAGTTCCTCAACTTGATGTCGTAGAAACACCGTCTGTCCGCATGCACAACGACCACAGACTGAAAGTGACTCTTGTACAGTCTCATGTCTTATTTAAAATGGCAGTTTTCTATCTTTTTTAAAAGCCATATTTGTTTTTTTGCCTTAGGTAGAAAACGTGAACAGAATGCAGTAGTTGTACACGTCTGCAGTACGTTTACTAAGTGCCTGGCTCAGCCAAAAGCATACGACTACATTTAAAACGTGTAACTGTAACCGGGTCACCGTCTGATATCCACATATTTGGAATGTATCATCGCCGCAAACTTGTTTTACACTGTAAATGACTTCATTTGAAACTGCTCCATCACAACCTCTGCTCCTCCGTCAGCACGACTTCAGGTCCGCAGTCCTCACCGAGACATTATGTGATTGCTGCTGAGATTGACTGTGACACCTCGACGTGTGACTGGAATCCTGAAGCCGACAGAGACGGCGAGAAGAGCGTCGAGCGTCCGGGGAGAGAATCCAGTCTTTTGCTTTTGTACATTGTTGGACCAGTTTCTTGTGCTGATTAAATGTAAATATCATTTGTACATTTTTCTAAAAAATACAATATTGATTTTTTTACATAAACATCATTTGCGTTGTCCTTCATACAGATTTCTCACAGATTCCTTCCATTCAGTTTGTCCCCGACAGGATCTGAACAATAAACTGAATCTTTTACTTCTATTTGCAAGATGAAATAATTTTTCAGTGACACGACGACGTGATCAAACACAAAAGCAGTTTTGTTCCGGGAAGCTGGTTGTTTTTAAAGTTAGCTAAAGTGAAAATAAGAGAAACAACACTGGTGTTTACTCACTACTTAGTTTGAAGGAGACGTATTCAGGTTGATTATTTGAATTCGAGTTATTACTCCGCTCTCACTTTACCTGGATTTGTTAGGGCACATGTTGGACGAGCCGCAAATGTCGTGACATCACGATGATGAGGACGAATCGTCCCAACGACTCAGAACTTTTTCTTTGACAAAAAATCTGGAGGAAATAAACAATGATAAAAATCGTACCAATGATGAAAAAGGAATCTAACAGTGACCGCCTCTCATAATGTCCAGACCAGAGTCTATTTGACGTGACTAATGTTCAGGTGCATTGTGGGTTGAACCCAGCTCGAGCTGTGAACTGTCCAGGGTTAAATCACTAAGAGTCTTTTAAAGTGGCAGCGAGAACATGAGATAACCCTTCCTGTTGAAGATGATCTCACCGTGGACACGATGAGCGGTGGTAGAATTAAACCCTGGTCTGCCGTCGTCTCCTGTGTCTTGTTGAAGCTGAGTAAACATCATCATTCATGCGTCTCCGGATCACGAGTGTTGATCGCTTCAATAATTCAACAACAAAACTTTAGTCTTTGAAGCCGGCGCTCCTGCGCCCTCTGCCAACATCGCACTTTCCTCAAACCTTTCTTGTCCGACGTCAGACTGAGGCGCCGCAAATTCTTACGACGTTGCACGACCTCTCTCAGCTCGGCTTTGAAATAACTTCCCCTGACCTCGTCTTACCTCGCCGGCGAGAGCGGGCTTGACATAATGTAAATTCTCAGTCGGAAGCTGATGAAACGGGACGCTAACAGGAGGGGAAAAGGCGAGACGCGTGCTGCTGCCGCAGTTAGCCCGTGTGTACTTCAATATTAGCTCTGACAGAGCGGCCCAGAGGACGCAGCTGCTGAAACCACATAAAACACAGCGGCTGAGAGGGAGCGAGGGGTTCCGGCGACGCAGCGCTGAGCGTTAGCGGGAGGAACAAATGATTTTAGTCTGTCAGGGAATTCAGCAGAGGACACGTTTGATCTGGAGTTTGTGATTGCTTCTGCCACTGGAATTCCTTATTCTGTCAGAGATGTGAAATGGGAGAGAAAATAGCTCCGGGCGGTGAAATCCAACCAGGCCTGGAACAAGAGGTGGAGATAAGACTCGCAGAGTTCACGCATCTCCAACGCCTTCATTTATTGATGGAGGTAACGGGCGAGAGAGATGAAAGACGGGTCTGAGCGCCTCCACGTATTAGTACAATAATCTGATTGTAGTCGGTTTTAAATGAGAATGTGTGTTACCTCAAACTGGACATTTGTTCATGTTTCATCTCAGAAGCAACTCAATTAAATTCCTGCTGTGGTTTAACTCGGAGCATTAAATTCATATTTGACGTGAACTCTGGGTTTTAAAACAGAAACAACAAGAAGGAGCAAAGGCTCAGAATAAATACTGATGATGTTTAAAACGATATTTCATATAATTCACTCAATCAGCGCAGAAGTAAAATCTCTGTGTGACACCATGAAATGATATTTGTCAAGATACGTGTCAGTGGTTGGAAATCAAACATTTCCGCACCTCTGCTCCTCCTGCGGACGCCTGAGAACCAGCTCCTCCTG